TGTGCTCACCAGACAGAGAGAGACATAGAGACAGAAAGCGAGAAATCACCCCCCAGAGGGATGGCCACGCCGCAATCCCTTCTCCTCCATTCTCCTCTCGGGATCTTGGGCACGCACGCACACGCGCCTGGCGTGAGTTCTCAGCCACCGGGTCCAGGACACGAACCGCGGTCGACTACGTGGGAGTCCAGCGACATAGCCATTACGCTAACTGCTGGTTCCCCCCTTTCTATCATTTTTGAAAACGGGGGAAAAACAGTACCTCATCATTTGCTTTGAAATAATTGACTGTGGAGCCAGCCAGGTAACATGGTGGTTAAAGCAGCTGGATCTCACTTGACTGATTATGGTTTGAGTCCTCTACCCTGCAGCTTGAAAAACATGCCAGGTGCATGTGTGGGCATGCCTATAATCCCGAGAGGCAAGTGGTGGAGGAGGGATTGCTTTGTGGCCCCCTAGGGTGGGGGTGCTTTCTCACTTCCTCTCTCTCTTTCTCCCTCTCTCTCTCTTCCCTTCCCTCTCCATGTCTCTGGTGAGTGCATGTGCTCTAAAGCAAACAGGATGCTTTTCCATGCGCTGATTATAGTTTAAGATATGTATGAGAGGTTTATTACCCTGTCTCTCTGCCATGAACATTTGTCTTTCATTTCTAATTGTGTTTCTTTCTTTTTTTTTTTTTTCTAACCATGTTTCTTTGAATAAAGCTATTGTTAAAGGGGAAAAAAATATATCAGCAAAATCACCAGGACGTTTTTGAATGTTCTGGCAAGATAGAATTGGAAAGGATCCACACAGCATACTAAGTCATGAATAAAACCCATGCTACCTCTTAGGGCATCATTTATTGATCCACTGTGTTTCTAGTTTAACATTTTTGCTGCTTAAATTTGTTTTTACCCATAAATGAATGGCACATATACAGTTTTCTGAATTTAAGGTCTGCCACCTCTGATCTTGATAATCTTGGGAAAATTATTTAATATTTGGGCTAAAAAGTACCAATATTAGATAAAGAAAACAATAATACTTACAGAATTGTGAGGATTAAATTATTTGGAAACCCTTGTTTGGTATAGAATAGAGGAGAAGGGAATACGGCATGGTCATTCCCCCTTGGGGGGTGATTTCTCGCTTTCTGTCTCTCTGTCTTTCTGGTGAGCGCACCCACCCTATAGCAAAAACCTCTCAAAAAAAAAAAAAAGAATTAACTCTTGGGCAAAAACCTCTCAAAAAAAAAAAAGAATTAACTCTTGCTAGTAGTAAATAAAAAGCAGGGCTGACTCTATGGCCTAGCGGTTAAGGGAGCCAGATTTCACATGGCAGACCAAAGTTCAAATCTTGGCCTGGAAGACTTGAAAAACATCTAAGCGCATGTGTGTGCCCAAAATCCCAACAGGATGGAGAAGTGGAAAAGAAGTGATTGTGGCAAGACCACACCCAATTATAGGGTGATTTCTCCTTTTTATTGCTCTCTGGCTAGAACATGTACCTTCTGGCAATTACAAAAAGAAAAATGAGGGACCAGCAGATGGCATAATGGTTACATTGCTGGACCTCCCACGTAGTCGACCATGGTTTAAGTCTCAAATCAGGCAGCTTAGAACTCACGCTGGGTGTATGTGTGTGCATCCCCAAAGTCCCGAGAGGAAATTGGAGAAGGGATTACAGCCTGGTCATCCTCACTGGGAGGAGAGAGTGATTTCTCAGTTTTTTCTTTTTTTTTGGAGAGATTTTCGCTATAGGGCGTGTGCGCTCGCCAGACAGAGAGACAGAAAGCGAGAAATCACCCCCCAGGGGGGATGGTCACGCCGCAATCCCTTCTCCTCCATTCTCCTCTCGGGATCTTGGGCACACACGTACACGCGCCCGGCGTGAGTTCTAAGCCACCGGGTCCCGGATGCGAACCGCAGTCGACTACATGGGAGTCCAGCGTCATAGCCATTACGCTAACTGCTGGTCCCAAGAGTTAGTTTTTAATGCTGTAAAATATTGAGTCATGGTGTTGGGAAAATTATTAACGCAAGGGAATTTGTAAAACTTAAAGAGAGCTGAATGACTGTCTTCTTTAGGACCTGTAGCATGCATGAGCAGTTCATGGGTTTTACTTTCTCCTGTCTGTTATTGGTATCTTTCATGCTGTGTCTTCATGGACACAGTTTCTACAGATAATGGCAGAGTACCTCTTCTGTCTCAGGTAGCATCGGTATTTGCTAGAAATAAGCAGTGCTCAAGTTCCATGCCAGTCTGATGCTCTCATCCTTACTACAGCAGGGGGACTGTAAGTGGATAAATAGGAAGAACTTCTGAGTATTATAAGCTCTGAAGGGAACAAAATGGAGAGAGATGCTAAACATTGAGGAGGCCGCTTTGGAGAAAAGGCTGTGAGGAGGTGGGTTGAGATGGTAGTGCAACAGTAAGATGTGAAATTGGGCAAGCGCGACCCACTTGAAAAGGTTCTCAAGTCCAGAAACCTCCCAGGGTATGCCAGTGCATGTGCCCATAATTTGGTGCTGGCTGAAGCTGGGTGTGGATTGTAGCATCAATACCATTCTTGCAGGAGTTGTTTTTGGGTTAGTCTCTCGCTCATAGAAAAAAAGAAATGAAGTTTTTATTGTTTTTAAGTTTCTGAGCAAGTGTTATTTGACTGAGTCTTTTTGTTGTTGTTATCTTTCAAGACTTTCTTTCTAAAAATTATTTATTTAATTTATTGTTATTATTATTATTATTTGCTTTAGGGAACACGCACTCACCAGAAAGAGATGAGAAGGAAAGTGAGAAAGCAAGCTGTCAAGTCCAGGACTCAAACCATGGTTGGTCATGTGGAAGTCCAGTTCTCTAACCTCCATACCACCTGCTGGCCTCTTGACTGAGTCGTAAATGTCTAGAAAATGTTACAAATCCTGGGACAGTTTGGGGAAGAGCATTTAAATAGACTTTTTCTTATAAAACCGTAATTCGGCCACCCTTTACTGTTTTTGATAAGCAAGGCCACGTGCTTTCTTTTCCTTTTTAGTCATTTTGCTCTTGTCCCTTTTCCTTGAGCCTTTCCCAGTGACTCTCCATACTTCTGGAAGTGGTGACCACACTGGTTTCCACATCCTACTAGCATCTGATCGACACGCAGCGTAAAGAGAGGATTACTCTCTAACCCTGGTGTATTGTGCTGCTTCCCAGCACATCCTGTCATAACACTGCATGGTTGACTCACTCCCTCTGGTCAGTGGAGACTCCCAGGGTTCCTTCCTCTGTATGTGTGCCTGTCTTTTCTCTCCCTTCCTGTATTTATATTATTGTTCTGTGTCCCTCATTGTGCCACATCGCAGTATCCCTGTTAAATTTTTTCTTTTTTTTTTTTTTTTAAGTTTTGCTATAGGGCACATGTACTTGCCAGAGAGAGAAAGAGACAGAGAGAGAGAAATCACCCCCCGCCCCCAGTGGTGATGGCCGTACCACAGTCTCTTCTCTTCCATTTTCCTTTGTGGATTTTGGGCATGCACACATCCACGCCCAGCATGTGTTTTCATGCTGCAGGGTCTGGGACTACAACCATGCAGTCGGCACGTGGGATCCAGCCTCCTGAACCACCATTCCATCAGCTGGCCCCTATTTTTTTTTTTTTTAATGTGACTGTTTCTTCAGGTAATCGAGGACATTGAACATTTTCTACCCAATGTCAGTAGTAATGATTTCCATCCTTCAGAATTCTCAGCCCCTCTGATGCACTTACTCTCTGTCTTTTCATCTGCGACCACAATAACAATAGTAGAATAGACTTTCTTTCTAGACAGCTGTGAGTCTCTATAACCACAGCCCAGTGAGTGCTTCTCTCTTAAGTAGTTTGCTTTCAGAGTGGTTAAGAACAAAGTCTTTATAACCAGATCCCCGGATTCCTACCATGTACTAGTTCTGTTAAAAACTTCATTTCTCTCTGCCTTAGTTTGTAGAAAGAATAG